ATTTAAGCAGGCAAATTTGCCTGCTAGACGGTTTAAGGGATAGTTTTTTTTATTAACATTAATACCAACATTCATACTAATGTTAATATTAATGTTCTTACAAATATTAAACATTAATATTACCAACGTTCATACAAACGTTTAATACTAACATTAGTACAAACAATATTACTAACGTTCATACAAATGTTAATACTATCATTAGTACAAATGTTAATACCAACATAATACCAATGTTAATACCAATATTAATACCAACATTAATACCAACATTCATACCAACGTTTATACCAATGTTAATACCAACATTAATTCTAACATTAATATCAACGTTAATACAAACATTAATACCAATATTAATACTAACGTTAATACCAACATTAATACCAATAATATTAATACCAATGACGTTAATACCAATGACGTTACTACCAATGTTCATATGAACATTAATACCATCCTTTGTGCAGATGTTAAAATGAAGAAATAACTGAATAGACGATGAAAGAAAAATATCATATAAGCAGCTAAAACACATAAGAAAAAGCAACAGCAAACGATGTATAGAAGTGCCAAATAATACTAATGAAATCTCAAAAGACAACAAAAAAAAAAAGTCTAAAAAAAGTCTAAAATAGTAGATAAATGTTAGAGAAAAAAAAGTACAAGATAAATAGTATATAGAACTACCGAATAATAATAAATGATACCTAAAGAAAGTAGAAAAATTGTCAGAAAAAGAAATATATAAAAAAACTAAAAATATAAACATTAATTTATTGACTAAATCAATCTCCAGAAGTGATCTGCAGCTCAGAATTTCCTTGACATAAGAATATCTCCAATAGATACATACGTACATACTTATAGTATGTACATAGCAGATAGTAATAGATTTTTTTTCTATATATTGATTAAAATATTTAGCTAAAAAATTTCATTATTTATAATAATCTGTTAAAGTGTACGCCACTCATTACTCTAACTAAATATATATATACATTTACCAGCAAATGTCTATATACCAAATTCAAAAACAAACTGATTATACAACCCCTATTTATGGAAATATATATCTTATCATTATTGTGATAAATACTAAATTATCTTTTTATATAATACTATAATAATTTAAATACATACCCTTATGCTTAATTAGTGCTCCTAGGTCTGGTTCGGGTCTGGTCTGGTCTGAGTCTGGTTTAGGATCAACCAGACTCAAACTCTAAATTTTACTAATTTTAGACTTCAGACCAAACTTAGACTTAATTGTGGGTTTGGTCTGGGTCTGGTTCGAGTCTGCAGACTGGTCTGAGTTTAAATAGTTATACCACATTGCTCTAATGCAAATATATAATTTGAACCAATTTTTAACGATTTATTTAAATTGCTAGTAATTCTTCGTGTCTGCTCATTATATAATTAGGATTATACTTTGTAGCTAAGTTAATAGTGCAAAAATCTCATGTTTGGTGAGCGGTTGCAATAACAGTGTAAAAACTCATGTTTGGTGATTATGATTTGCAAATACAATAAGTGATTGTGCTCTGCTACTGTAAAGCAGCGCAAGGACCTTGTGTCCGTGATTAGGATAACAATACAAAGACCTCATTTTGTGATTAAGCTAAGTGACTGCGATACAGTGCAGATTATGAAAATAGTGTGAGAGCTTCATGTTATGATTAGGCTTCACAGCTACAGTAGTTAATGAAGGATCTCATGTGATTAGATCCATGGTTGCAATAGCAGAGTAAGAATTTTATAGTAGTATAAAAAACCTCATGCTATTATTAGGTTCCACAGCTACAATATGTAGTGCATGTTGTGATTTGGCAATGCAGATACAATAGTAATGCAGGAACCTCATATTGTGATTAGGCTCCATGAATGTGATAATGGTGTGCAGATCTTCTGTTTAGTAATTAGGTTCCACGACAACAATGCTAGTGCAAGGACTAATTGAATATCTTAGAAATAGATAGAAAGAAAACATTAGCTGGTGAACTTTGCAAGGACACAACATTGATTGTTTTAAAATCATGAAGATTTAATATTTGGTCTTAAAAGAGTGGTGGCAGATGCATTTCTTTGAGAATATTACATTACATTAACTTAGGATATAGATGCAACTTATGTAATGGAGTCATTATTCAGATCACAGAAGATACAGACAAATGGCGCAGAAAAAAAAAAAAAGATAGAAACTCTAAGCCTTATTAAATGTTTGTAAATGCATTACTTTCCCATGATGCTCTTTTTTCTCCCATTGTGTATCTTTATCTAATCAAATTAAATAAATTTGATCTGAGCAAAAATAATGACCCAAGGCATGATGACAGTAATGCTAGAATTATTATCACGAGGATTATTCTATTTGATCTGTATAACTTGAAAAAGTATTTAAGGATTAAATGGTTTCCTTCGCTGCCCAACTTGGGTTTGGCTCTTTCGTATATAGTCCCACCCATTCCTCGCACTAAGAATGCTGAAATAAGAAAATTTCTTTAGCAACTCAAGTATGTTCGAATACACCTGAACCAAATAACACTAGGATTGTATAAAAAAAAAAAAGAGCTTAAGAATGTGCTTGTTGACTTGTGGATAGTCTTGAGTTATTATACAACATTCACCTGATGCTTGGTATTGAAATATAAAAAAAAAAAAAAAAAAAAAATGTAACTTGAAAATGAAAAGTGAGATACTCGGGAATATGCTTGCTGACTTATGAGTAGTCTTGCTCAGCAACTTGCTCTGCGACGCTTATTTGAGATTTAGTATTGTAATGTGTAAAAATTAAAGATCATGTTGGAATATTGATATACTACAATGATGTGTACACCTTCGTATTGGCCACCTTAGCATATCATAAGCATGCTCGATACTCTTTTTTTTTGCCACGTGACCATTGCGCAAAACCTTGTGTACACATATTAAATTGAGTATTATGTATTTAGAAGTATATAAGTTAAATGTAGGGTGCCAAAAGCCGCAGTGTGGCACAACTCCCATTTTGTATCTTTGTCCAATCAAATCAATTAAATTTGATCCGAGCAAGAATAATAATTTTTATATGACAAAATCATGCTGCCAATAAGATCCAAGATTTTGTATACAGTTAGTTGGCTATAAACCATATACTACGTTTCTGGTAAAAATTCAGACTCAAACTAGTCTGCAGACTTCAGACCAGACCCAGACCAGACTTAAACTTGATTAAAAAAAAAAATTTGAATATAAAAGTCTGAGTCTGGTTCGAAAATCAGACCAGACTCAAACTTGACTAAAGTCTGGTTCGAATCCGGTCTGTAGGAGCACTATGCTTAATAAACAATAATTATATTTTATAGCATTTTGTTTTAATTGGTTCTTTTTAGGAATATATTACTCGATTTAAGATCAGCATAGTGATTAATGAATAAAATTTTACTTACAAATTTTTTTCTTCACCTTTTATATGCAAAATATATAGATCTGTTTCTGGTTTAGCATGACTGTGTCATACAACTACTTATTTCTGAAATAGGCTAAATCTATGATTACATTTATTGTAATAGGTTATTACATATTTATTTTATTATTTTGGTAATTATAACTAGTTCTATCTAAATAGGATATAATATAGGGATATCTTGAATGTATAAATACAATTCTTCTGATTAATAAAATGAGAAAAGAGAAGTATGCAGATTAACAGAATAGTCGTATAGACTAATAATTCTACTTTTTTTAATTACAAACTATCATTAAATCTGAATCCTACTAAACATCTATTTCATATAAATTATGCTAGCCTAAAGCTAATTTCTTGTACACAAACCTTGCTCTTCCAATCCTGGACGTAACAACAAAAATGTAGATTATTGTACCATAAAATCATTCGATTACTACATCCAATCAGAATCAAGATTTTGTGGACAAATGCAAAACTCAAATTGAACTATAAACTCTGTTTTACTATGTTTCTAGTATGTCACAAATTTTGAAATTTGTAATACTGCCAAATTTATTCTTAACTAGATTACACTTTATTTTATTTCAAAAAGAAAACATATTTATACGTATCATTGTTATATCTAGAACAACTATCAAAATCATAAATGAAATATAAACAAATACTAACTAAAATCAGATCATCATAATTACCCTACTCAATTTTGTTGTATTGTTGTAGTCATATATATGCCAGTTTTTTGCTATTCATAGCTTGCAATGCTTTGATCTTTTCAGTTTTTTTTATACGCCTATTTATTCTTTGATGTGAGATCATCAAGATAATTTTCTCGTAATTGTGTAAAAGGAATGATCTATATCTGCTATTTTTATAGTAATATATAGTACTAGATGTTATTGTTAGATCGTTCTGGTATAGTTAATTCCTTCTAGTAATAGTACTAGTACTAATTACTAGATGCAAACCTTCGCTCGCTGTATATGCTTGATGTAATAAATCTGGTTTTGTAAATTTGTATTTTAAATAAGATTTGTTTGTCGAATTTTTTGATTTTTTGTTTTTTTTGTATCGTGTTTTTTGCTAGATATATTATTTGATAATCATTAATTGTCAAAGACCAAAAGAAAGTTTGTGATGAAAGGATTTGATTTTTTTTTTTTCAGCAAAAAATCATGTTCAGTACTCATGAGTATAGTACGTGCTGGTGAAGTATGTTTATAACTTGTATTAAACTTATCGACATAGCATGGCTGGTGTTAACCTTATGATATATTATTGCATATTTTATTATTTAATATAAATACTATTGCTATCAAACTGATTATACTTTAATTTATTAATAAAATAAATATTCAATAAATACTTAGAACCCAACCTTTTCATCTGATTGTTAATAAATTCTATTTAATTTTATATTATTTATACAGCTTAGAAGACTTTTTTTTTTAAAAAAAAGACAAAAACCCAAGTAAAGAAAAGCTATATAGAAGATTTTATTAGAGCTGTAGAACTTAATAGTTAAAAATAGGATCTAATTTTGTCTTTTTAAAAAAATTAGCTTAGTAATAAGTTGATTTTATCAGGATTTGAGAAGTTATTACTATACAACTTTTTAAACAGACGAGAATTAGATCTTATTTTAGCTATGAAGTCCTACAGCCCTAATGAAACCTTCTATATAGCTTTTTTTATTTCATTATAATTAGTTTTCGTATTTTTAAAAATATACTCTAAACTGTATAAATAATATAAAATTAAATTGAATTTATTAGCCAATCAGACAAACTTCTGCCTAACTTTAACTGCAGTAAATAAAAACTTTAATACTTGACTCAAATATTTCTATGTCCTAGTTTAGTCTACCACTCTAGTGCATCTGCCTTTAGTAAATAAATTCCTTAAACATGTAAGTTTTATTTCTACAATGTAAAATTTATCCTTATAATAACTAGCACCAGTTCTGACTTTATATCTAAAACACACTTCATACC